TTTGTGTACTTCATAGAGAATAATTTTCACAGATTTGTTATATATCTTGTGTCTCATAGTTTTGGAGTTTGAAACTGAACAGAAACTTCTCGTTCTAATTCATATACAAATAGTTTTTGTAGGTTGGGTGTGGTGGCTCATGCCTGTAATCTCAGCACTTTGGGAGGCTGAGGTGGGCGAATCACTTGAGGTCAGGAGTTTGAGACCAGCCTGGCCAACATGGTGAAACTCTGTCTCTAATCAAAATACAAATTAGCCAGGTGTGGTAGTGCATGCCTATACTCCCAGCTATTCTGGAGGCTGAGGTGGGAGAATCACTTGAACCCGGGAGGTGGAGGTTGCAGTGTGCCAGGATCATGCCCTTGCATTCCAGCGTGGGTGACAGAGCGAGACTTCATCCCAAGAAAAAAAAATACTTTTTGTAGTTGGCAAACTGAAATATCTTGCACCCAGAAAAAAAGAATAAGCTGGGTGTGGTGGTATGCACCTGTAATCCCAGCTACTCTGGAGGCTGAAGTGAGAGGATTGCTTGAGCCCAGGAGTTTGAGGCTGCACTGAGCTATGGTTGTGTCACTGAACCCTAGTCTGGCCAACAGAGCAAGACAATGTCTCTTTAAAATAAAATAAAATAATGTGTGTGTGTAAAGTAAAATAATAGAACAATGAATAAAAATAATCGGCTGGGCTTGTTGGCTCACACCTGTAATCTCAGCACTTTCGGGGGCCAAGGTGGACAGATCACAAGGTCAGGAGTTGGAGACCAGCTTGACCAACATAGTGAAACCCTGTCTCTACAAAAAATACAAAAATTAGCTGGGCATGGTGGCACACGCCTGTAATCCCAGCTATTCGGGAGGCTGAGGCAGGAGAATCGCCTGAACTGGGAAGGGGGAAGTTGCAATGAAGCCGAGATCATTGTACTCCAAGCTGGGTGACAGAGCGAGACTCCATCTCAAAAAAAAGGAAGAAGCGGTTTTCAAACAGAATTACCTCCAGGGCGTTACGATACAGATTACAGAACCTCGTCCCAGAATCAGAATTTCCGATTCTCTAGGTCTGGAGTGGGGACCAAGAATTTGCATTTCTAGTGGTTGTGAGGTGATGCCAATGTTACTGATTTGGAGGCCATCACTTTGAAGAGCAGTGCTTTAACCTTTTGGACCATGGACCTCTTTGAGGATATGATGTAAGCTACATTCCTTCCCTGAATAAAGATAGTACTCACAGTTCTATGTGTAATTTTGGAGAGTTAATGGAAACTTTGATGCCTAAAGACCTCAGGAGAAACTGTAGTGTTACGTAGCAAGGAAATAAGATATTCATAGATCAGCACAATTTGATCACCAATAAGTGTTAAGTATGTGATAAGCAATAGAAAACATTTTCTGAAATTCTCTTTTAGTTTTCGTGTTTTTAATTTTTAGAAACTAAAAGGAGCCCTTACCAAACTGCTCAGAGTACATTAAAATATTTATGGAAATGACTACCTGCCATGTGGATTGTTGTCAATGACTAGCTCTAGTATACCTTCTACATTTAAGGAGAGAATAACTGTAGACGGAGGCCAGCTAGAGGCTTAGGCAGGACATGGAGGGGATCACCGTGGTTGGTTTATTCTTCAGCTTTGCAAGTTTCAAAACTTAATTTTTTTTTTTTTTTTTTTAGGCAGAGTCTCAAAACAAACGCCCCCCCCTTTTATTTTTCGAGACGGAGTCTTGCTCTGTCACCCAGGCTGGAGTACAGTGGCATTCTGTCACCTAGGCTGGAGTGCAGCGGCATGATCTCTGCTCACTGCAGCCCTGACCTCTTGGGCTCAGGCGATCCTTCTGCCTCAGCACCCCGAGTAGCTGAGTAGCTGGGACTACAAGCATGTCCATGCCTGACTCATTTTTCTTTTTTTTGTAGAGAAATTGTTTTGCCATGTCACCCAGGCTGGTCTCAAACTTCTGGAGCAATCCGCTGGTCTTGGCCTCCCAAAGTGCTGGGATTACAGGCACGAGCCACTGCCCCCAAGACTTAATTTTGTTACTGCCCCAGAATTAAATAGGCCCCTAGAACTGACAAACGCCCCCCCTTTTATTTTTCGAGACGGAGTCTTGCTCTGTCACCCAGGCTGGAGTACAGTGGCATGATGTCGGCTCACTGCAACCTCCACCTCCCAGGTTCAAGTGATTCTCCTGTTTCAGCCTCCTGAATAGCTGGGATTAGAGGCACACCCCACCACACCTGCCTGATTTTTTATTTTTAGTAGAGACAGGGTTTCACCATGTTGATCAGGCTGGTCTGAAACTCCCGATCTCTTGATCTGCCTGCCTCAGCCTCCCAAAGTGCTGGGATTGATTACAGGTGTGAGCCACTGCACCCAGCTGAACTGATGAACTCTTACAAGACCTGATTTACCAAATGCTGACGTTAGTTTATATAGAGAGATACAGCTTTCTTGTAACTGGAATACTGATGTCTTTAATTGTATAGTTAAGCAGTTTTATTTCAAGGATGCTCTTACTAGTTATTGACTTATTTTCAGGTCACATATACTGAAGCGTTGTAGTTATTTTATACAGTCATCCCTTGTTATGGAGGGGATTGGTTCCAGGACTTCCCTTGGATTCCAAAATCCGAGGATGCCCAAGTGCCTTAAAATGACACATAGTATTTGCATATAACCTATACACATCCTACCCTATACTTGAAATCATCTCTAGGTTACTCATAGTACCTAATACAATCCCTATGCATCACATCATTCACATGAGTTCAGTGTAGTACTTGGTGCATGACAAATTCAGGTTTTTGTTTTTTTTTTTTTTTTTTTTTTTTTAAGAAGGGTGGCCGCCTTTCCGGCCGCACCCCATTTCCCAGGACGAGGGGCCTTTTGAAACTTTGTGGAATTTTTTTGTTTTTCCTGACTATTTAAGATTTGAGGTTGGTTCAGTCCATAGATGCAGAACCAGCAGATATGGAGGATCAACTGTATATGTAAACTCTGTTTCTTGATATCAGGGTACTTAAAAGATCGCATGACCTGTCCATATTCAACAAGTTAAGTAAGTGAAATCAGCAGGACTCGACTCCAGATTTTCTGATTCCAATTCTTGGCTTTCCCCCAACTGCCATAGCACACTTTCCTCCCTGTTAATGTACATGTTTTTCTTTTTCGTGAGACAGGGTCTGTCTTGCCCAGGGTGGGCTGTAGTGGTGCAGTTTCTGCTCACTGCAGCCTTTGCCTCCTGGACTGAAACGATCCTCCCACCTCCGCTCCCCAAGTAACTGGGACCCTGTGCCACCATGCCCAGCTAATCTTTTTGTTTTTTTGTTTTGTAGAAAGCTGTAGAGTCTCACTATGTTGTTCAGGCTGGTATCAAACTCCTGGGCTCAAGTGATTCTCCCACCTCGGTCTTCCAAAGTGCTGGGATTACTACAGATGTGAGCCATTGTGTCTGGCCTGAATATACATAGTACTAATTCTCTGATTTCATGGCAGGGACTGCTTATACTTCTATATACTTACTGCGTTCTGGTTTTTGTTAAAACTTAATATTTATGGGCATTACTCTCACTGATTCATTGCCCCTGAAGGTAGGGGGTCATACCTTATTTTAGTGCCATATGCAAATTCAGCAAACATATTTTGAGCAACTAATGGATACCGAGCACTTATGGAGCTTACATTTCATTTTTTCAGTGTATCCAAAGTGTGTACATCAGTAAGATCATAAGCAGTGATCGAGATCTCTTGGCAGTGGTGTTCTATGGTACTGAGAAAGACAAAAATTCAGTGAATTTTAAAAATATTTACGTCTTACAGGAGTTGGATAATCCAGGTCAGTAATATTCTTTTCTCTTATGTATGAGAATGTCAGTAGTCTGAACAAAGAGGACTGTGGAGAAGGAAACAGGTTACGTCTTATCTAGGAGTATGCTTTCCTGCATTAAGGGGACCTTGCTCGATGTGGACTTTGTTAAATGGGTTAAACAGCTCTGGGGTGAGAAAGGGTCCTCCTTTTAGCCTTGTGGTAAAGGCAACCACTGACATTCTTCTGATTTTTTTCCTTCCATTTGACTCCCTGCCACTGATAAGGCGCGAAACGAATTCTAGAGCTTGACCAGTTTAAGGGGCAACAGGGACAGAAACGTTTCCAAGAGCTGATGGGCCACGGATCTGACTACTCACTCAGTGAAGTGCTGTGGGTCTGTGCCAACCTCTTTAGTGATGTCCAGTTCAAGATGAGTCATAAGAGGATCATGCTTTTCACCAATGAAGACAACCCCCACGGCAATGACAGTGCCAAAGCCAGCCGGGCCAGGACCAAAGCCGGTGATCTCCGAGATACAGGTGGGTATATTCCCTGTTCTCTTAAATTGGGACTTAATTGCTTTTTTTTTTTTTTTTTTTTTTAAAGAGATGAGGTCAGGCTGGAATGCAGTGGTTATTCACAGGTGCAATCATAGCACACTCTAGCCTCAAACTCTTGGATTCAAAGGAGTTCAGGCGTCTGGCCTCAGCCTCCCAAGTAGCTGGGACTATAGGCATGTGCCTTTGTGCCCAGTGCAGTTTTATTGCTTTCTGTGTACCTGATAGCAAGCATTTGCTTTTTACCATTCAGAGTAAATGAAAAAATAAAGTGAAGCCAGGAGAAGATACCTGTGTAACATAAACACTCAAATGGCCATGCCATTAGCTATCCAAAGGACTCTGTCAGAACAAGATTGTCTTGATTTTTTTCTTCTTTTTTTTGGATGGAGCCTCACTGTCGCCCAGGCTGGGGTGCGGTGGAACAATCTTGGCTCACTGCAACCTCCGCCTCCTGGGTTCAAGCAATTCTCTTGCTTAGGCTACAAGCCTCCTGAGTAGCTGGAATTACAGGCATGAGCTGCCATGCCCAGCTAATTTTTGTATTTTTACTAGAGACGGGGTTTCACCAATGTTGGCCAGGCTGGTCTTGAACTCCAGACCTCAGATAATCCACCCAACTTGCCATCCCAAAGTACTGGGATTACAGATGTGAGCCGCTGCGCCCGGCCAATTGTCTTGACTTTAATATTACTATGAATGGTGATTATTTGAATAAGTTGTCTAAAGTCATTATAGCAGCTGATTTCCTTGGCCACTTTCTCTGAGTCCTGAAAATGTTAATAGTCTAGTTTTCAGGGAGCTTTCAAAAGCATATTTCATTTTAACTGGAAGAGCTTCTAACTTGCTGAACATTGTTTTTCCATCCTTCACTTTTGTTTATCCTTGCAACAGGCATCTTCCTTGACTTGATGCACCTGAAGAAACCTGGGGGCTTTGACATATCCTTGTTCTACAGAGATATTATCAGCATAGCAGAGGACGAGGACCTCAGGGTTCACTTTGAGGAATCCAGCAAGCTAGAAGACCTGTTGCGGAAGGTTCGCGCCAAGGAGACCAGGAAGCGAGCACTTAGCAGGTGTGCACTCAGCCCGGGTCAGCTACCTATATGATTTAAATCAGAAGTGGGCTGGGCATGGTGGCTCATGCCCATAATCCCAGCACTTTGGGAAGCCAAGGCAGGCAGATCGCTTGGGTCTAGGAGTTTGAGACCAGCTTGGGCAGCATGGAGAGACCTTGTCTCTACTTAAAAAAAAAAAAAAAAAATCAGAAGCAATGAATTTGCTGCACATCCCTTAAACCAGAAGCAATGTATTGCTTTGACCTGTGTGGCTACTTAACTCTGGACTGTGCCATTGCCTCACTGTATTCTTTTAAAACACTTGCTTTATTTCAGGATAGCAGAAGCTATTTGCTGCTTTATCTCTGGCAAGAGCTAATATATTTCTCCAAAATAACACAGCCCTCCATTTCCCGGGGGTAGACAGTTGTGGTTTAAGAGAATCCTCAGCTGTACTCACTAATACAGGCATGTGTTAATTAATGATGGGGATACCTTCTTAGAAATATGTCATTAGGCGATTTTGTCATTGCACGAACACAGAGTGTACTTAACGCATCCAGGGAGTATAGCCTACTGGACACCTGGGCTGTGTGGTTAGCCTGTTACTCCTACGCCGTAAACCTGTACATCATATTACTGTACTGTTTACTGTAGGCAATGTAAGTATTTTTGTATCTAAATGTATGTACAGGTATGGAAAAGGTACAATAAAAATATGGTATAGGCTGGGTGCAGTGGCTCACACCTGTAATCCCAGCACTTTGGGAGGCCAGTGTGGGTAAATCATGAGGTCAGGAGTTTGAGACCAGCCTCGCTGACATGGTGAAAACCCATCTCTACTAAAAATACAAACAAGCCAGGCGCGTTGGCTCAAGCCTGTAATCCCAGCACTTTGGGAGGCCGAGGCGGGTGGATCACGAGGTCAAGA